GTTTCTCTCACTATAACAGAAAATTCAATTTATAATGCATGTATTTCCTTAACTGTTTTTAATCTTATTTATTTCCTTTCTGTCCCATTATCCTCTCTCTCTTTAGTTCTGACATGGATTTGTCACGCATTTTTTAACTTCGTTGTCTCTGTTTTCTCTTTGTTGTCGTTTCTCCATAGGAGATGTCGCTTGTCGGTCCAGAGTCTCCGTCAGAACAGGCAAGAAGAGTTTTCCAGTCATTCGATCCTGAAGGTAATGACCTACAAGTGTTTGAGTCTTTGACGTGTTGCACATGCTCATCATCTCCCAGCCATCTCACGCTGGGTTTGTTTCTTTTGTTGGGTGTAATTCACCAAACTCTATAAAATAAGGTAAGAACTTTATTGATCCCGCAGGAAATTGTTGTGCCTGGGTTTCATTACAAAGGAACATTCACAAGGAATCACACAAGATATAAAAATAATGGAGAGGTATAAAAATACCAACAATTAAGGTCCAAGACCATTCACAAATCCAAAGTGTAGTTTAGTTTGTCTAAGCCAGGGGTCTGCAACCTGCGGCTCTGGAGCCACCAGTGGTTCTTTGGTCCATCTACAGTGGCTCTTTCAAGCTTTTACCAAAACTAACATAAAACTGAATTTTATTGGTTGTTATACTAAAATAGAAAAAAGGGTAGCTTTATCAGTCTTCCTGTCTTTTTTTTTTTTTTTTGCAAATATGTGAATAGTAGAACTATACAAAGAGTAAACCATACTCACTTTATGCTTTATCTCTTCAAAGTAAGATACTTAATTTTTCCACAATAAAATGTAAAATCATAGGCCTGCATAGTTCATCGTTTAACATTTTACAAACTTGTTAAAATCTTTTTCCCCTTCTTTCTTTACAACAATCCGGTCTTTTCTTTTGTCTTAAAATGTACAAATATCACATTTTAAAAACCATTTGATATTTTTAGTTTTATGAAGTCACCCCTACAGGCCAGAAAAGCCCCCTCCAACAGATTTCAAGGGGTCCACGGGACACCAGTTGATGATTACAGTTGTACCAGATGGTTGTGGCTCCAAACACTTAATTTAGTGAACAAAGGGACATAAATGACTCTTTTGACCGTAAAGGTTGCAGACCCCTGGTCTAAGCTGTCGCACAGCTCCTGGTTCTAATCCTTCTTTTCCTGCCTACTTCCTTGTTTTAATTCTTTCTCATCTTCTACTACCCGCCTTTTCTTTTTATGTTGCTCTTTTATTTTCTTCGGCAGGGGACCAAGTGTCCTCTCTCATCTTTACTGTTGTTGTTTAAGTTAGTGAGACCAGCTCCTCTAACAGCTGAGTCAATTATCCCGCTTCAGCCCTCGGTCTCTTTTTCTCTCCCTGGTTACATCACATCCAGACGACTTGGGTAAAAGGTTGTGAGAAGCACATGAGTGACACTGTCATTTTTAATTATTAAAATTATTTATGCATTTGTGCATCAGAGAGGGTTTATGCTAAAACATCTTGTTCTTTTAAAATAGTTTCTCTTCATTTCAAATCAGCAGTTAAGGAAAGAAAACAATATTCTTTTGTAGTGGACTAGGCCTACGTCGAAACTAAGTCTAAGGTCAAAACTCTTGACCTTTAGAACTTTGTGGGACAGGAACTGTCATTTCATGTATTTGAATACATAAATACAGGTTCACCCATCCTGAGACTTTCTTTCTTGAAGATTCAAGTGAAAAGAACACTCTCTTTTTATTATCATTACTATCTTACAAATGTTGATAATCAAAGTGTCTTAGTTCAAACCATTTTAGATGTTGCAGTGAACTAATCAATTTTATTAACTGAGTAATGATTTTTATTCTCATGTTAAAAGCTGTTGCAGAGTAATTATGCATTTTTCTGATTTCTGCTTTTGAATGAGCAAGTGTGTGCGTTTACAAGGTTACAGTCAAACGAAAAACAAGTTGTTATGTTAAAACTGTCATGTTTTAGAATCCTCTCAGACGTAAATAGAGATGTTTTGCACCTGTTTCTTAAACACGCCACAACAAAACCCTCTCGGTCTGTGAGAACATTTCTGAGCTGTCCCATAACAATTCTCGCTGTCTCTAACCTCTTACGTCACAAAAACCCACCCCGTCTGGTCGTTTCTGACCAATGAAAAATCCCAAAAAGTGAACCGGGAAAGAGTCTTTAAAATGTCAGTACTTCCTGGTCTAGTCAGTTCTGTGGGAGTTCTGTAAACTACACGAGAGCTAAAGTTCTGATGGAGTGCTGTTGGAGTTCCTGACATGACAACAAAGCTCTTCCGAGTTCCATGGGATTATAACATTTTCCACTGAGGTGAATATGTGTCGAACAGAGCCTCGCCATTACTTCGGACGAGTAACAGCATCCTACTGAGACGCTGAAAGGGTGCGTTAAACGGAATCTCACCTGAGACATCTCCAGGTAAAGGAGCCGATTTCATCACCTAAGTGTACTGTATGGAAAAGCTGAAGAAAGCCGGAGAGTGTCGATTCTGGTGAACACTTAATTTCCCTCACATACCATCTTAACTCCCTCTAAACTTCTTTTCATCTTTAACTTTCTATCAAGTAGAAATTCTCCCAGATATTTAGAAATGTCTGTGTAAAGTGCTTACCCACATTCATGTGGGCAAAAGATCATAGTTGTACAGTTTTCATAAATGTCTTTGGTGCAGCAACGGAAAAATCATGGCCGTATGATTTTTCCTGATTGATTGCTTATATTGTTATTTTCATAATTTGCCAAATTAATGTAAATGTTTGATGTTAAATTTGATTCTGTAAATAAATGACCGCATTCATTTTGATGGGTCAAATATAAATGACGTCTCACGTTTGCATTTCCTTAAATTCAATGCACGTTTTATTCAGTCCAGAAAAATGAGGAACCCGCGTTAAATGATGAATATATCCCAGCATCTGTTCATCTACACTTTGAAATCCTGAAAAATCCACTTGTCTTTTCTCCATTTTTCATTTACAAACAACACAAACTGCTTGCTGTGTCTCCTTCCTGGAGAATTTGTTTCCAGCTAGCAGCTACTGCTATATTTATTACAGCTGTGTGCTGTGCAGCTCCTTCTGGCACATAATGTAGTTGGTCTGTTATATGCCAAATGCCCTATTTCCCTTGACCTACAAAGAATAAACAAATCAAATTTGAGATTTTATTTTAGCGCTCATAAACACAGAAAAAGCAACAACGTAAAGCACTTTTAAAGAAACATCTGTTAAATGTTTACATTTAACATCTGCTTTGATATCAGAGAAATATGGGAGAAATGCAGAAAAGTCAGGAGACACTTTGAAAAGATTAGCACTCGCTCTCAGAGGTGCACATGTTCAGCTGAGTAAATCACCAGTTGCAACATGTACCTTCATATTTATGTGTTTTTTGTGGCTTAATGAAGCATGTGTTTCTGTTACAATAAACAGCATTATTCACTCTCTGCTTCATAGCAACATGTGCTGATTTGTAGACGTTGTTCTGTAGGTGACGCAATCTTATCCCGGGATGAGTCCGACATGCCAGGAGCAGTTCTGTCTGCTCAAACAACCTCGACAATAAATATGTAAACATAATTGTCATCTGTTGTTTTCCTGTTCATCATTTGTTTCTTCCTGTTGCACAGTCCTGCTGCCATCTGCCAGCACATTCTGCACATCATCTGGTCGGCCCTCACCCACACAATGTGTGCACAAGACGCACATGTTTCATTTACTATTGGTGTGCCCACAGACTCAAATGCATACATATACACACATGAAAGGAGCCTGTACACTGCACTGATATTTATGCAGAGACGCACTTGAGTTCTGTGAAAAAGGACATAAATCTGTCTATGATGTGTGGAGTCAGCAGCGCTCCCTGTGTTGTGGAGAAACACTGCCACACACATTTACACACGCACACACACACTGAAGTGATTCACAAGACTCACTGTGAAATCCCCTGTTTCAGTGGCTGTGGAATATTAGTTTGTCATGTCCCTGTGTTGTGCCCTGTTTGTGTGTCGCCTTTGTTCACTGTCACACTATCAGTTGTTTGCTCTCGGTGAACATCTGGTTTTAGATGGGGAAGAAAAGAGCTGCTTGTTCGCTCACAATGTGAGCCCAGTAGGGGTGTATGCATGGATCCGAACAAGACACCATTTAGCTAATGTTTCAGTGACACTAACTTGTAAGTGCATGTGATTTTAAAAATTAAGAAAAACACGTTAGTGTTAAAAGTTGGTCATCTTGGATAAACTAATCTTACTTCTAACCTTCAAAGCCCTCAACAACCTAGCTCCATCTTATGTTACAGATCTTATTGTTCCATATTTTCCTAACAGAGCACTTCGTGCTCAGACTGCAGGCTTTCTTGCGGTTCCTAGAGTTTCCAAAAGCAGAATGGGAAAAGCAGAATGGGAGGAAGATCTTTCAGTTATCAGGCTCCTCTCTTTCGGAACCAAGTTCCAGTTTCTGTCCATGAGGCTGACACATTGTCCAGTTTTAAGACTGGACTGAAGACTTTCCTTTTTGATAAATCCTATAGTTAGGGTTGGCTTGTTATGCTGCTATAGGCTTAGATTACTAGAGGACAAACTGACCTTCCTTAAATTAATTGTTAAAATTGAATAGTTTTCATTTGATATTATTTCTATCTTAACATGTGATTCTCGACCTGCCATTGTGTATCTGTTCCTCCTTCCTGTTCCTCTCAAACTCAGCCAGTCGAAGCAGATGGCCACTTGTCCTGAGTCTGGTTCTGCTGGAGGTTTCTTTCTCATGAGGGAGTTTTTCCTTTCCACTGTCGCCTTCATGTTTGCTCAACATGAGAATCTGTGATGAAGTTCAATTCAAAGCAGTCTGCTCCTCAGATACATAATTTTAACTTATACTTTTTTAATATATGTGAATGTTTCTGTTCATTGTCCTGAGACGACTTCTGTTGTGACTTGATGCTATATAAATAAACTGAATTGAATTGAATCTGTACAACTGAATAATGTTCAGAGGTAACTGTGTTTGTTGTGTCTGGTGAGGGTTTTGCCCACTTTGGACCACAGTTTACTTTGTGCCACACTGTGGGTGTTGCAGGAGGCACTGCCTCATTTTCAGGAGAAGTTTCTGCTTTCTGTTCTGTCTAAGATGAGCCGACTGCTGCTTCTTTCTTTTCATCTTTTTCTCTTTTTCTAGATAATGGCTTCATCCCAGAGTCTCTGCTGGAGGATGTAATGAAAGCTCTTGACCTCGTCTCAGAGCCTGAATAGTAAGTGCCCGCCTGTTCAAGGCTTTCTGGATGTTGGGATGCGAGTGTATTAGTTGGTGTTGGTTCATGTCGCACCTGTGGAGCGTCTAAAGTTCTGCCTCACAGGTCAAGGCCAGGCCAGGTCAGTAACCTCATGCTCAGGTTTCATTACCAGGCTACTATAAAGTAAGGCCAGAAAGAACCCGCTATAAAAGCTTGAGAAGAAAAAGGGTGGGAAAGTCAGAAAGGAGCTTTGAGTGAGATCATTAACGGCAAGAATAAAGACTGAGAGATTGAGGAACTCCTTAAAAGTGCTGCTTCAAACAGAAGCATGTTCTCCTCAGAGGAACAATAAGTCCAAAGGCTGCAGCCATGGGTCCTGCCAAGTCTAGACCACTGATCGGGTCTGCAGAACCCCAGATGGTCAATACATCACAACAAGAGAGCAAACTGAGAGGAGACTCCCAGTCTTTCATTACCACACAACTGCAAAGATTCCTACATATAAAAAAATACAATGTATGGTGCATGACTAAAAAAAGATTTAACAGCAGTATCAATACATTTTTCTTTTTGTCTTTTCTTTCTTTTGACTGTCAATAGTCCGATGGTGTCATAAACAAACTTTGTGCACACACCTTGGTCTCAGAGTCACTTCAGTTCAGACTTTACATATTTCACAGAACATAATGGGGCTAAAGGTTTAGTGATTTCAACAGGATTTAAATTTAATTAAGGTAAACACCCAAGTATAAAACATTTTACTGGGTTACTCAAAGATCGCTGCATAACTCTCATCCTGTTTAAATAGGAAACACACACAAACTAGTTCACATAACTAGATACTGATTCCAGTGTAAATGTTCCAACGTTCCAAATGTTGATTTATCCCAATTATTTGATCGACTCAGTTTTCACTGACTTTTTTTTTCATTCAACCTTTATACACGTTAGTCTCATTAGGACTCATTTACAAGAGGCTTGTTTTAGATAGATGACATATAAAAAGTAAAGACCACAATAATTCAACAAAAAGCAATTACAAAACAACAAAATAAGTTATAAACGCGGTCAAATCAAGATGTCATATAAACAAGGTAAAATACTAAAAATAAACATGTTTGCTTTATATTTGACTTTAGGCGAGGTTTGAGAGAGGGTCTTTCACTTGCTTCTGTGTTCAACGCTCTTCTGTCCTTTCTGCCTTAAAAGGCCAATCTGCCCAATTTTTTATTGCAGGGGAATAATAAAAACACTGATCCAACACGTAGGAATGTCTGGCAAGAAGTATATTTAGTTGTACCACAGTATTTGTGAGAACATGCACACACAGACCAAAACAGGCCCTGACTGACGGGGTATTGGTAAGTTTGGCTCGGCCGTCATGCACAAAGTTATTATTTCATGCCGTGCTGATTAGTTTGTCTTACTGCCTCTGTTTTTATCTGCTTGTTGTTTCAGTCTCATTTCTGGTTTTCTCTGTTGAGCCCCGTTTACTTGACTTCATGTCTCTGTGTCTGCATCTCTGCCCTCTCAGTGTCAGTTTGGTGAAGAATAAACTGGATCCAGAGAGCTTGGGCATAATTCTTCTGGGCCCGTTTCTGTTGGAGTTTTTCCCAGACCAGGTATGTGTGCGTCTGGGTATGAACTTCCACTTCACACACACACACACACACACACACACACACATTCAGTTCCACCCATCACATAGTCCATATCATAGTTGAAACATATTGAGAAAAGATTTGCTTTCCCACACATATGTATGACACCGACGTCTCTTTGCCAAACTAATTAAATGTTTTTTTTATATCTAAATCATTCCTCTGGTGTCTTGTATGAAATGTGTGTGTGTGTTTTCATAATCATATGATGCCACTTTTCGAGAAGTTTAAAAGGAGCAGCAAATGCTTTTGTGAGGCAGATTGTGTTAGGAGCACCAAACGACAGAGATAGAGGGAAACTGTGCTAAAGTGATCAGGGCTTTAGAGACTCACCAGAGGAATGGTCTCGAGCCGCAAAGAAATTACACTGCCATTAGCCAACTGGACCCACACACACACTCAGACACACGTGGGATTAGTGTGAGGGTTAGAGTTTCATATATAGGCATATAAACACACAACTCTGGACACGCTCTCGGACGCCCTGTTAGCCCTCTGCACCTCCAAAAGTCAATATCATGGGAAGTGTTTTGGCTCACTGTCACTGTTCAAACGTTTCTGAAGCATTGGCTACGTCGTGGTAATTGGAGTTGGGCTTCGCGACGCACAAATAAACACAACACGTGGGATTTAATATAAAACTTTGGTTGCAGGCAAGAAATGTGACTGTTTGACTTGTTGGTTTGCAAAAGTTCAGCCTCTGCCAGTCAGTGAAAACAGTCAGCTTGGATTTTGTTTGACAACACATGTTTTGAACTCCTGTGTGTGTGTCTGTGTTGCAGGATTCAGGAATCCCAGACTCGTTTCCTGTCTACCACTACAATGGACTTAAACAGTCCAACCACAAGGAGAGGGTAAGACTCTTTCATACGAGATTTTCCATTGTAACTAACTGTGGGTTTTTAAAATATTTTCTGCCATTCTCATATTCTCTTCTTTTCCTGTCATCGTTCATACGCACTCGCATACACAGAGCTGAAGGCAGCCAGCCACTCCAGAACAAACAGTAGCTGTTGTGAGCCTAATAACCTGTCATTCCAAGCAGAGGCCCACGTAAAGCCTCCTGCTTCTCCGAGTCATTTCAGCATGAAGGCCACTGTCAGCAGCCTCGTTACGGGGAAACAGCGAAACACAAACCTATTAAGCAGGCTCCACTTGATGGATGATTGTCTGTGCAGTCTTTGCACAGGTCTGGTACTCGTGAATATCAATTTCCTCGTCCATCAACTCTGTCATGTCTTTAAATCATTTTTAATGCTGCTACCTGAAGCTTCAGGAAGGGCACAGGATGTGTGCCCACACAAAAGCACGCACCTACACACATGGACATTGTAGCTTGGTGCCTATGAGGTTGTGATGGCAATTCCATCTCCACGGCTCCAGATGGATATAACAGACGCTCTGACAGCCGTCCTCTGCAGCTGGTGGAGCGTATTCATCCCTCTGTGTTTTACCTCTGACCCCCACAGAGGAAGTGACTGCAAAGAGTTCAGCTGTGTAACATTGTGTATACTGTGTGTTTGTGTACTCAGGTGGAGTATGTGGAGGGGACAGCTCTGGTGCTAGGTTTTGAGGACCCCATGGTTCGAACCGATGACACTCCAGTGAAGCGCTGCCTACAGACAAAGTGGCCCTACATTGAGCTGCTGTGGACCACCAATCTCTCTCCGTCTCTGAACTAGTGCTAACACAGCCTGTGCATGTGGTCAGACCACCCGCCACAACTCAACTCCCCCTTCCACGTGCACGCTGACCACAAAAGGTCAGCAGGCTGCAAAGACTGAAACACATGCACCAGAGACGTACGAGAAAAAGGGCACAAACGCACACAGAAGACAAAACGTGTTCATGGACTAATCATTCGAGCCCGAGATCTGTTCGGTCATTCCCACGTACACATTTCACATAAACTCTGCAGTGATGCTATCTGGTCCCCACAGATTATTAACAACTGGCAGGATGTTTATGATGCGATCATTTAAGTTAAAAACGAGTGTTTATTTTGACTGCTTCGCTCGGTGCCGACAGCTTCTGCTACACTTCAGCTGTAGACTTATAGAAACTGTTTAGAAAGCATGTTGGTCATCATATCACACACATGTAAAGCCCGCCGACTGTGAAACTAATTAATTCAGCTTCAGGACTGTTCGAGGGAAAAAAACCTACCAAAGCCTTCCTCACACACACACACTGACATTTTACAGTGTAAAGGGACCAACGCAGATGCAGAGATCCTGACTGGAGGTTTGAAACATTTTAACCAAGTTAAAGTTCGTATAGGTGCTCCGTGTGCTTCACGCACTGCGTTAGGATGTGGGCTAAGTGCTGGTATTTATTATCAAGCTTAAAAGTTCTGGAATAAACACTTTTTTTTTTGTTTTGTTCAATTGTCTGATTGTTGTAATTTTGAAATCTTAGACAACCGCCTCCTGTTTGTCTTATAAATACGTCTTGACCCGACACGGGACACCCTCGGGTTTCAGATGTTCAAGGTCTGTTTGCTGCCTCGCCACTAAATCACATCCAAACTGATGTTGTGTGTCCCAGAGAGAATCTAAATCAGCATTTTACTAAATCTCCAAGACACTAATGGCAACTTAAGTACTTCTCCGTAAACAGAACGTAATCCCCCTCAGACAGAGCAGGGTGTTTGTGGAATACCAACATTTCTATAAAGAAGACAAATTAAAGTCCTTCCACTTCATTTCAACTTTGGCTGCAGGGCGACACAAAACATTTTCACAAATTTTATGCCAACAAATACTTTAAACCAGTGGCTTTTTTATTTTTCGATACTTCAAACGTTTCAAGTCTTCTGGGGTTTATACAGTTGAAAACAGATGTTTACATCCATCTGTTATCCTCACCCGCTTCTTCCTTTCTGGGTTGCGGAAGCTGCTGGTGTCCATGTCCTGCAGTCACTGTGAGAGGCAGGGACACCCCAGACAGGTCGCGAGTCCATCACAGGCCCAGATATTTACATACACGTATTTAAAAAAAACAAAAAACATTTCTTTATGTCCAACAGTAAATCAGACTAAACCTGTTCTGTTTTAGGTTGGTTAGGATTCCCAACGTTATTTCTGTTCAGTAAATGCCTGAATCATGGGAGAATCTTTTCATTGCTTTCTTCACCACAAGTGTGCTACATTGAGCTGTTATTAGGATTTAGTAGATTTTCCTTTATTCTGTGCGATTTGGGTCAAACGTCTCGAGTATTACTCTACAATCTTTTCACTATAGTTGTTTGGATCTTTGCCCCATTCCACCCGACAGAACTGGTGTAATGGAGTCAGGTTTGTACAAACCGGATTCCAAAAAAGTTGGGACACTAAACAAATTGTGAATTAAAACTGAATGCAATGATGTGGAGATGGCAAATGTCAATATTTTATTCGTAATATAACATAGATGACAGATCAAAAGTTTAATCTGAGTAAATGTAACATTTAAAGGAAAAATATGTTGATTCAAAATTTCACAGTGTCAACAAATCCCAAAAAAGTTGGGACAAGTAGCAATAAGTTGCTGGAAAAAGGAAATTGAGCATATAACGAGCAGCTGGAAGACCAATTAACACTAATTAGGCCAATTGACAACATGATTAGGTATAAAAAGAGTGTCAGTGTCTCTCAGAAGCCAAGATGGTAAGAGGATCACCAATTCCACCATTGTTGTGCAGAAAGATAGTGCAGCAATACCAGAATGGTGTTACCCAGCGTAAAATAGCAAAGACTTTTAAGTTATCATCATCAACCGTGCATAACATCATCAAAAGATTCAGAGAATCTGGATCAATCGCTGTGCGTAAGGGTCAAGGCCGTAAAACTCTACAGGATGCTCGTGATCTCCGGGCCCTTAAACATCACTGCACCTCAAACAGGAATGCCACTGTCAAGGAAATAACAGAATGGGCTCAGGAATACTTCCAGAAAGCATTGTCAGTGAACACAATCCTCCGTGCCATCCGCCGTTGCCAGCTGAAACTCTACAGTGCAAAGAGGAAGCCATTTCTAAGCAAGCTCCACAAGCTCAGACGTTTGCACTGGGCCAGGGGTCATTTAAAATGGAGTGTGGCAAAATGGAAGACTGTTCTGTGGTCAGATGAGTCACACTTTGAAGTTCTTTATGGAACACTGGGACGACATGTCATCCGGACCAGAGAGGACAAGGATAGCCCAAGTTGTTATCAACGCTCCGTTCAGAAGCCTACATTACTGATGGTATGGGGTTGCATGAGCGCTTGTGGCATGGGCAGCTTGCATGTCTGGAAAGGCACCATTAATGCAGAGAACTATGTTCAGGTTCTAGAACAACATATGCTCCCATTTAGACGTCATCTCTTTCAGGGAAGACCCTGCATTTTTCAACACGATAATGCCAGACCACATTCTGCAGCAATCACAACATCATGGCTACGTAGGAGAAGGATCCGGGTACTGAAATGGCCAGCCTGCAGTCCAGATCTTTCACCTATAGAGAACATTTGGTGCATCATAAAGAGGAAGGTGCGACAAAGAAGGCCCAAGACGATTGAACAGTTAGAGGCCTGTATTAGACATGAATGGGAGAGCATTCCTATTTCTAAACTTGAGAAACTGGTCTCCTCTGTCCCCAGACGTCTGTTGAGTGTTGTAAGAAGAAGGGGGGATGCCACACAGTGGTAAAAATGGACTTGTCCCAACTTTTTTGGGATTTGTTGACGCCATGAAATTTGGAAACAACAGATTTTTCCCTTAAAATGATACATTCTCTCAGTTTAAACTTTTGATCTGTGATTTGTGTTCTATTTTGAATAAAATATTAGATGTTGGCACCTCCACATCATTGCATTCAGTTTTTATTCACAATTTGTTTAGTGTCCCAACTTTTGTGGAATCTGGTTTGTAGCTACGTCACTCACACCTTTTCAGCTCTGACCACAAATATTCTTGAGATTCGAACTTTGTGGCAACTCCAAATGTGAAGTTGTCTATTAAGTCAGATTGTAACTTATTTGGCAGTATGCTAAAGGTCCAAACCCATTTGTGCCCAAGCTTTAACTTCCTGGTTGACGTCTTGAGATGTTCATGCTCTTTCCTCAAGGTCCCATCTGTTTTGTGACTTACACCAGGCCCTCCTGCAGCAAGACACCCGCACAACATGATGCTGCCACTCCCATACTTTACAGTTGGGGTGTTCTCAGGCTTGCAAGCTTTTGCCTTTTTCCTTCAAACCCATAGCTATTCAGACATTTGGACATGTGTCCAAAAATGAAGAGCCCTGCCCCCTGTGTGCATTTGAAAACCACAGTAATCTGTCCATTATATGTTGCTTTGGGAGCTATCCTTCCTCACTAAGCAGCCTTTAGGCTCATATCTGTACAGCACTCGTTTCACTCTTATTAGCTTCAGCAGCATCTTCACAGGATCATTAGCTTTAATTCCTTCTATTACACCTTGGGAACACAGAACCCATCTCCTTCCTGAGCGGTATGATGACTTGACAACCCCCATATGTGAATACTTGTGTATAATTCTTGGAACAGAGGAAGGTGGCACCTTCAGACATCTGGACATGGTTCCCAAGGACGAACCAGTGATGTTGGAGATGGACAGTTCTCTTCGTGGTATCGTGGCTGATTTTCCTTTTTGATTTTCCTCGTGATGTCACATAAACTGAGGTGAGCCTTGAATTACACCCGCAGGTGTGTCTCCAATTAACTCATACTATCTGAGCTTTCACAGTTCTTTTAACGAGAAAAAAAAAAGTTTTCTTTTTAAACTTCGTACGTAAACATCTGTTTTCAACTGTACATATACATGCATGTTCTATACACAGCGGTGGTGTAATATTGTCAGAGTGTGTTTTTAATCTGGCCTATCACACACACACATGCGCAGTGTTAACGAGTTTGTAAAGAGACTGAGGGCACGTTGTGAAAGAACTAAACTACTGTTCATGTGCAGGAATCAATCCTGAACGACCCGCAGTAAATCTCTGATCAGAGCACATTGGCAGACTGACAGGAAGTAACCTGAACTCTGCGAGTGTGTGTGTGTGTGTGTGAGTGTATTCCTGGTAACAGAGTTTTATTGGATGCAAGACAAAAGAGGAAACTGATTACAGATGCACAAATTCATTCAAACTGCTGCTTTGAACAAATGTCACATCACAGCAAAGACAATTCTTCTGTTTTCTCATTCAGCCTTCATCTTCCTTGTTCCTTCTGGAAGGTGAAAGAAACCCGTCTGGTCCTTACTGGTTGTGTTGTCGCCTCTCTGTTCATTTTAAAGAAACGGATGAGAAAGACCAGAACCTCTTCTGTTCAGACACAGTCTTCAGAGCATCAGTTAGGAGGTCTCGACTCGGTGAACCAAGTCTGTGTTGACATGAAAACTGGAGGACAGGAGGGCTGGATCACAGGCAGCAGGTTGGGTTGTGTGAAGGTCTCCACCTGGCAGGCCCAGGCCTGGTTTGTTTCCCTGCTGACCCCACCTTCCCAGCTGTTTTTATCTCTACTCTTGACAGAAAACACTCCACTTCAGTGCAGCAGCTCTTTTTTACGGTTTCATCCATCACTTAGGTGCTCTGAAGGCTGTTTGAATAAAATGAACCAGAAAAGATAGGTTAGATAAGGAGGGTGCACCATTTATTCTCTTGCACACTCAGGACTTGGGGGATTTGAGCTGCAAGTCTACATCATAATTACTGAGGTAATTACAAGAGATTATTCTCAACGGAAGGAAACACAGCCCTGTTTAACAGCTCGTAAAAAGGAGGAGAAAAAGTTGCTCTGAAAGGTGTTTGATAGTGCGCGCGTGAGCGTCTGATTTTTTCGCACATGTATTCCGAAACTGGTTTGTGGCAAATAATAAATAAATAAATAAAAATCACAGAAAGTGGGGGGAAATAAAAAAAAACAAAAAAAAACAGCCGTGCCATAAAAGGAGCGGTGACGCGCCATCCTCCTCTTTGCGCGCTCAGATGTGGTTTGTGCGCCTTGTGATGTGTGTGTGTGTGTGTGTGTGTGTGTCTGTGTCACTGAGCGCGTGTGTGTAGGGGGTTAAAGTTTTGTGCAGAGGGGTGGGGGCGCGGCACTTCAGTCTCACAATCGGAGGTTCTGGGGGCAGACCTGGTGGTTTAGACTGGGGGTGTCAGGACGGGAGTGGACTGCGCTGCAGAAGCGCGCACATGCGGCCAGTTGGCGTTCTCCAAACCGGGATCAACTTCACTCACCTGCACACGGGAACCCCCCCACGACTTTCTCTCGTTTTTAAGGAATGCCCCGCAGCTCGCTGTCTGTGAGGATGGAGCGCGGATGGGACTGCGCCTCCCCTGCTGGGGTGTTTATGCTGGGGGTGCTCTTTGCGCTCTGGCTGGCGCCAAACGCGGTTTGGAGTTTTAACCTTTACGCAGAGCACCCCACGGTTTACAGGGGACCCGATGGGAGTTACTTTGGTTATTCTGTGGATTTCTATCAAGCTTCCACCGACAGGAAGACGTGAGTGGCCCCATCAGGGTTCTGATCACTCATTAACCTGCCCACATTATTATGTTTAATTAGTATTATTAATGAGGGACCGATCTAGTGGAGCAAAATAATAAATTTTCTTTCTTCCATTGTTTCCTTGTATCCACTAGGATCAGTGTGCTGGTGGGGGCCCCTAAAGCCAACACCTCTCAGCCAGGCATAGTGGAGGCTGGAGCCGTCTATTACTGCCCCTGGCCCGGACAGCCTGATAGCTGCAGACAGATTCCTTTTGACAACTCCAGTGAGTCAAACCAAACTTTTTACAACTTATTTTTATCCGATGGATCTAAAAGGGTCTTGTGTGTACCTCCTGGAGGGGCAGAGATCGTAAGGCACCATGTCACTGTTTCAGCTGAGACTAACTTTTAGGACACGCTGTGAGGTCCACGCTGGCTTTTCAGATGGTTCAGTCGTGACTTGTTTCAAAGCCTTGGGGTGATGTCCCTCCGTTTTGAAATAATTAAGAGTTCTGTAGTGTCCAGGCCTTCGTGAACTGAAATGAATCAGAGATAAGACATGTGGCTCTCATCCCTTTTGTCCAACATAAAGTGGCTGGCAGGGTTTCTGGCTGACCTCATGCTATTCAATATGTTATCATCAGTGCCCAATCAGCCTTTGCTTGTTCATCTCGGATGCTCCGAGTAGTGCATGAGGCAGAGAGAGAGAGGGAGAGAGAAATGGAGAGAAAAGAGAGAGGGGGGTGTAAACTGTCTGCACATGGGAATTTAGTTCCCGGTTGAAGGAACAGGGGATTGGGTGAGGTCTGCTTTTTATTAGATCTTGAGATCATACACCCTTGTCCCACTCAGGTCCTCCATCAGTCGGTCCCCTTCTCCCTCTCTTCTCGAAAGCTTGATTGTGATGCAACCACAAGGGGAGAAAAAGAAAAGAAGTAGGAACTGACAGCACATTTCACGTTGGATGTTTGACAAATTCAGAGGAAGTTGCAAACGTATGTGTGTTTGCATGAAAAGCTGCAAGAGGACGGAGTTAAAAACTGCAGGCGATGCTGCTGGCGTGTTTGATCCGATATTATAATCAGCTGTTCATCAGCGAGAGTCCTCTGAAGGAAGGAAGAACAGTTGAATGGATCAGCTGACGAGAGCACAACTAAAGCGAGAGTCCACAAAAATGAGGCCCACGGTTGTTAACGTGTTGTTTGAGGGCATGTGTGCTTCTCCTCACAACAAGGGCTGGGTGTTCAGAAGGTGATTGATGGCTGTTGGCACGGGGAATATTTCTAGAGTTACAGCTGACCCATTTTCACAGGTATAAAAAAAGAAAAGGGGAAAAAAAAGTCAGCAGGAGTCTGGCCTGATTTATATCACACATCAGTTTCACATGTGTGTGTCCGAACGTCAGTGACGTTAAGCAGATGTGCGAAGGGAAGGGGATGGGAGTGGGTTATCAGGGACTAGTGAGAGATCGTGTCACTTTGATTTGAGTGAATAAACGTGCGCCAGTGCCTGGTCTGTCGCATGCGTTACTCAGTTTTTTCAGAAAGTGATGCATCAGACTATGAGGAGGGATAATTAAAAACGTCTTCTAAGGCTAAAAACACTCCTTGGACCCTTTAAAGTGGAGTTCCCTGTTATATAAAGTACACCTACGTACAGCTGGAAGCCACATTAAAGTCGAGTCATTAAACAATATGGTCTTAAACTCCCATCTTCTTCTAACACCTGCACTGTGATTAGAAAAACCTACTTTCCACGATAAAGCCGTTTCATTAAAACTTCATCGTCTTCACTCAGTTTCTGTGTTTCTCTCTAACAGACGAGGGAGGACAAACGATTCAACGTGTTCTTTGAACTTTGTCACAGATGAACCAGATGAATAAAGATTTTTTTATTTTTTTTAACTAATACAGTTAATTAGCAAAACATGCACCGTACACCTGTTTGTCTGGGATCTTGGCGTTCCAGTAACTTTGTGTGTGCTGGGGGGGTGGGGGTGCAAAAGCATTAATGAGGAGGGGTCTGCATGGGTCTAAAGAGTCCCAGCTGCTCTTAAAAAATGCTGCAAAATGTCTACAACAAGCAGCCACACTAAATCTGTCACGTCACTGTGGATCTAAATGCTACATGTTTGTGTGGAAACTTGGGTTCAATCTCTGACTCAAGTCTTTTTTACAGGGTTGCCTCTTTTAATGAGAGAAACTTACTCCATGTCCTTGCAAATGTTTGTCTCCGGGGGGGATAAATGGTGTTTTGATGTGTGTTACGGGCCTGTTTAGGACGTCGCTGTTTACTCCTGCTCATTAAGGACAAATGATTGCAGACCACATTGCTATGGTGTCTGTCGGCTTTTACAGCCAGAGCTTTAAGATGTCTCTTTAGCTCCAATTCTTTATGTCTTTTCCATTTCCTCCTCAACTCTGTCCCCAGATAACAGAATGATTAAAGTCAGCGCCAACAGGGAGCCTTTGGAGTTTAAGTCACACCAGTGGTTTGGAGCGTCAGTCAGGACGCACAAAGGAAAAGTGGTGGTGAGTGGGCATAATAAAATCAAATTTGAACTAGAGAAATTGCATTTCCTACGAAAATGCAGTGTGAATAATTATTGCTGAAGAACTTGCTGAAAAACACCTGGAATTAGCTAAAGGAAGCATGCTGAAATGGAAGAACAAGCCTACGACAGTAGAAGAAAGCCAAAAACTATTTGCTGAATTTGGTTTAAGTAAGCAGAAATGAGCATAAAAATTTGTAAGTTTGCTTAAAAAAAGGGGGGAAAAAAAAAAGGCTGAAATTAGCAAAAATAGCTGAAAAGAAGCTGAAGATGAAAAAGCTTAAAATACCAAAATAAAGTGGAGATAGCACATTTTTGCTGAATTAGGCTGAATAATAGTTTAAATAAATGCCAAAAATGTGGATTTAGGTGAAAATTCTGAAATTAGCATAAAACGGCTAAACAGTAGCCAAAATAGCAGAAAAAGCTGAAACTAGCAGAAATAAGCTGAAAGGAGCACAACAAGCTAAAATTAGCAGAAATAAGTTAGAAGCACAGAAATGTTATAGTTAGCAGGAAGAATCTGAAAGGTGCATGAAACAGCTTAAAGAACAGTTGAAATTAGCTGAAAGTAGCTGAATTGTTTTTTATTTGCCCAAGGAAGCTGAAAGAAGCTGAAGCAGAACAAAATGTTAAAGGAGCAGTAAAAGGTTGTAAACAGATATAAAGATTTGAAGGATGTAAAATGAACTCAATTAATTTTCTATGAGAAAAAAGTGTCAGAAAAGGCTAAATGTTTCAAAAAGTTAAAGTTGCCCCAATACCAAAAGCCATAGAAAGATTGTCCTGAAAGAGCTGAATGTTTGGATATATGATTTGTTGAAGTAGCTCAAAAATTTTGGAATGAGAAAGATGCTGAATAACATATGAAAGAAAAATGGATCACAAAAGTGAATGCTTCATAAACATTCACACTATTATACATTCTTTAGACCTAATTTTGTCTCTACATTCTTGATATCTGAGGGAAAACATGGATATTAGAGGCTCATTTGTTATGCAGGCATGTGCCCCTCTCTACCACTGGCGGACATTAAAGAAAGAAGGGGAGAAAGATCCAGTGGGGACCTGCTATGTGGCCGTTCAGAACTTCAGCGCCTACGCTGAGTATTCTCCGTGCAGAACCAGTGAGTATCTCTGCAGCTTTACCTCCAAATGTCAATTTCATGTTCCTCTCACTTCACCCAACGCATAGCTTCTGTCAGTAAAAGACAAAATAAGACGACACTCCAGACAACATTTGATGCATATCCAACAAAGTTGTCAGGTCCTCTGGACCTTTTCTTTGTGTTGAAACGTTTTGTCTTTCATCCAAAGGACTTCATCAGTTTGAGGAGCCACAACACACTCAGTCCCACAAGCAGCGATAAGATGGTTTCTGGAGTCCGCCCTTTCCCCCGTCGACTCCTCTGAGGCAGCAATGGCTAAAGTGGTTTGAAACGTTTCAACACAAAGAAACCATCCAGAGGACCTGACTTAACTTAATTGGAGTTTTTACCTGGATTATTGAGCATGAACTTTGATGTTTTTAACCACTTTGGCCATGGCTGCCTCAGAGGAGTCGATGGGGGAGAGGGTGGGCTCCAGAAACCATCTTATCACCATCTAACTGGTTGGTCCACTATGGTAGTGTGCTGCCTGTTGGACTGAGTTTGTTGTGGCTCCTCAGACTGATGAAGTCTTTTGGAAGAAGGATGGAACGTTTCAACACAAAGAAACGGTCCAGAGGACCTGACTTAACTTTGTTGGATTTTTCTACCTGGATTACCAGTACTGAGCATGAACTTTGATATGATGCATATGCAGTCTTTTTACGTTCCTGAGTAAAATGTGATTTTTAACGATCTCACTTTGGAGAAAGAGTTACATTTTTACCAGACTGCAGAGCTAACAGCTGGTCTGAGCAGGACCAAGATGAAAGTGAGTCGTTGCCGTCTTAAAACCACTCCAAGCTCAAAAAAGTTCACAGCAGTTCATTCAACCTTTATTTAAACAGGTTAGTCCCGTTGAGCCTCGGGGACTCGTTTACAAGAGTGACCTGATTTCAACAAAGAGTGATGACAACAGTAGAAAACAATAGACAATCATAAAGGATGAGTACAAATTGAGAAGAACAAATAAAAGAAAATGGTATTAAAAAACTAAACAAATACAGCTAGGTTGTAAAGAGATGTAAAATACCAAAAACAGGAACTGCGTTGGTTTTTCCCAGGAACTTAACAAATGTTTGAAGCCACTTAGAGAAGTCAAGGTCGAGAGCTTCAGATCTAATTCAACATTATTATATAAAACTTTATGCTGCCATAACTTTAGCTCTACATTATTATTTACATAAAATTCATGAAAATAACTTATTAGTCAGAGTTTGACTGGATCAGTACCATGACGTTGCTGACTGTGCAGCTTTGTTTTATTTGTCAAGTCGTGCTCTCCTTTTGTCTAAAGTGATAACAGCGTTTTACACATGACTTGTGGACAGAATTCTACTGAAGCGTCCACCAGACTAAACAACGTCTTGATGTCCTTGATGGTAAAACTTTGAAGGGCTTCAAGCTGTTAGACATTTGGAAATTAAAGCTGGGGATGTATAGCTGATATATCTGGATCACATTTGTTCATTTGATGAAAAGCACGCCATGTATGCCCCAACATGTTATTTTTGATCTTAGCCGCCATACGAACACCACACACAGGAGGATTTAACATCCCATGATCCTTTTTACCCCCAATTGTCATCTAAGCAGTTTATTTTAACCACTATTTAAGTGTTTTTGTACAATGAGAAGACGTAAGCTAGTGTGTAAATGAAAAAAAAACACCAAAGATAATAATTAAAGGCATCGTTCTGTTAAATAGTACCCTATCAGCATACACTATTTAACTATTTGACATTTAACATTGCTACAAAAACCACCAGACTATCCCTTCAGGGCAGTTAAGGCCGGGGCGGGATCTTTTGCGGTAGAGAGAGATTTCAGGCAATGTAAACCTTTCACATGCACACAATGCTTAAGGGCATGGTGAAACCTTGGAAAACGTGTGCTCTTCTCTGCTGCCAGCATCTCAATGACATCACCTGCTGTAACGAGGTTCAAGAGAGACATCTGAAAACCAAACAAGCCCCCATGAAGGACACGAGTGAGGAATTTGGGTGTTTTTGCCCCATTAACAGATCACCAAGTCTGATTTTTACAAGTCACCACAGAAACCTAAAAATATTCCGTCTCCCTAGCAGCTAATCAGTCTCTCCCTTCGGTTCTCTTCCTTCTGTCATCACCTCTATAATTGGGATTCATGGGATGTCCCCTACAACCGCCTCCCTTCTCATGCCTGAATTTTCATTCCTTCTCTTCCATCCTGTACGTACGGGGGCACCCCACATCATGGTAGTGATAAACGAAGGCTAACAGGTGGCACGCTGCACACAGCACATAAAAGTTGTCTCAGATAAAGACGCGCACACTTACACTCCCTTCACTAACGGACTTCGTGCTCAAGATCTCTGATTTATTGTTTTTGTCGCTGGTGAATAATCAGAACGAGAATAATCACGCTGTAAATTCAACGGTTCTCAGGGGAGGAATTATTCTGAGTAGTTCTCAGAATCAGGCAAGAGTTCTTTATTGAGTGTTGAAGACAGATTTTTTTTAGCCACCAGCATTTTTTCGTCTTTTTTGCTTAGTATTAACATATTTTGGCGGCCACTCAGACCTCTGCTGTAACAGACTTTTTGTTTATACAGTGTGAGCACTTGTGTAGCTACGCATCGTTAAGCTTCGCCACAGGGACCACTGAGACGAAGAACAGTTTGATACGTTTGACACATTTCTGTACAGTTTGATTATTTCACTGAAACATAAGAAAACAGTCTCTATGTGTGTGTGTGTGTGTGTGTTAGAAAGAAGCTCCAACAAAGTGTTACAGTGAAATTATTGCTCACTTTTCACTTGTCCAAAAAATGGGGCCAGGTAAATTTGTCTAAATCTGCAGTGCTGTCATTTTCACTTCATTGGGGACGTACACTTCTACAGTAAAGGAAGTTCTATTATTCCAATACTGTTGAATGGCAAACTTGCAAGACAGGATGACAGACGGGCATTTTATTTTTAAATTTTTTGCAAATTTTCCAAATGTGGCAGTTACTTTTCATCACATACTCATATATTTTCCTCAGCTTACTCAAGATCATGTCATGGAAGCAGCTCTCTCCCCAAAAAACACATTGCAGCTCTTCCATGCACCTCTCAGGACCATATTTCAATTCACTACAGTTTATTTCTATAGCACCAAGTCACAACAGAAGTCATCTCAGGGCACTGAGCAGAAACATTCATGTACAGTATATAAAAATAAGTTAACACTTTTTATCTGAGGAGCAGACTGCTTTGAGATTAACTCCATCGCAGACGCTCATCTTGAGCGAGCATGAAGGCGACAGTGGAAAGGAAAAACTCACTCATGAGGAAGAAACCTTCAGCAGAACCAGGCTCAGGACAAGCGACCATCTGCTTCAACCGACTGGTTTGGAGAGGAACAGATACACAATGGCAGGTCTAGAATCACGTTAAAATAGAAATAGTGTCAAGTGAAAACTATTCAATTTTAACAAGTAATTTAAGGAAATAGTCTAAGCCTATAGCAGCATAACAAGCCAACCCTAACTATAGGATTTATCAAAAAGGACAGTCCTAAGCCCAGTCTTAAAACTGGACAAAGTGTCAGCCTCACAGACAGAAACTGGAAGTTGGTTTCACAAGAGAGGAGCCTGATAACTGAAAGATCTTCCTCCCATTCTGCTTTTGGAAACTCTAGGAACCGCAAGTAAGCCTGCAGTCTGAGAGCGAAGTGCTCTGTTAGGAAAATATGAAGCAATAAGATCTCAAATATACAAAGTAAGATAGAGCTAGGTTGTTGAGGGCTTTGTAGGTTAGAAATAAGATTTTGAATTCAATTTTGAATTTGACAGGGAGCCAGTGGAAATAAGCTAAAACTGGAGAGATATGATCTCTCCCACTAACTCCAGTTAAGACTCTGGCAGCAGCATTTGGGGGAATTATGAATTTTGTAATATTTGAAAAGCAGAACGTAGATAGACCTTCGTATTTTGTTTCAGCCCCAGAAGCAAGCCCGCATTGCTGTCGTCGGTCCATCTCTCGCTCATGTCTTACATCATTTGTGAACAAGACACCAGGACACTTAAACTCCTACACAAGCAGAGATTTACTCCCAACTCAGACCAATTCCAATTCCAATACCAATTCCAGTCCAATATTTTCCAGTTGAGAACCGTGGCCTCAGACTGTTATGAGAGGTGCTGACTCTCACCTGGATCATTCCACGTTTGTGTGTGTATGCTGAAGGTCGTGGCTTAAAGACGGCAACAAAACCTCATCATCAGCAAAAAGCAGCGACTCTGAACCAAGTGCCTCAGAAAGATCCCGTCTATGAACACCACAAACAGGATCAGAGACTAGGGGTAGCCCCGCAGAGTCCAACCTGCGCTGGAAACTAGCTTTACTTGGTGCTGAGAGTTTGTAGCATCTGCAAAAGCTTCAACTTTTATTTACCGTATCTGTAGTAATTAAAGTTGCATATTTTTGCGTGTGCGTTTGTGTTGCTTGCAGCTGATCCAGACCCAGAGGGGCAGGGATTCTGCCAGGCCGGTTTCAGTGTGGATTTCACCAAGGTAAAGACTGTCAGTAGAAACAACATCCTCCAGTTTAAAATGTAACTCTGCCCTCAGAGATTTATGAACACATGAGCGTGTTGGTCCCTGGAGAAGCCTCTCGCTCCCAAAGTGACCCGTCGCCTCTTAACACAGCTGACGTGCACACTATTTTTCACTGTCTAGTCAATTTGAACCTTGACCCCCGGCTCTCGGTCCAACTTGACCCTGCTGTACAGGAAACTGTCATTCTCAGCAGGATGACAGCAGAATTCATACGTGCACTCACTTCGCTCCTTCTACTGTACATCCCAGTCACAGCGAGACACACGTAGGAATTAACTCACACATTTCTGCAACATAATTCATTGTGATAAATCATTTTCATTTCAGGAAGGAAGGCTGGTTGTTGGAGGACCAGGAAGCTTTTACTGGCAAGGTAACCAGAGACACTGTTTATGAGTTTGTTTGTTTTGTTGTTGTTGTTTTTTTTTGTGGGGGGCGGTCTTTTTGTTCATCGAAGTCATGAAAAGACAGGGAACTCATATTTTCAGAGTCAACAAATCACATACCATATTTTTGGGACTATAAGGTGCACTAAAAATCATTTAATTTTTCTCAAAAATCGACAGTGAGCCTAATAATCCAGTGCGCCTTATGTACTAATTCTGGTTGTGCTAACTGACCTCGAACCGATTTTATGTGGTTATTGTGAATGGGTTGAATAAAGTTTGATTTATCTGTTTTGGTTCGCATAATGCACCCATAATCCGGTGCACCTTATGTATGAAAACAGACCCGTTCATTGATATTGCGCCTTATAATCCGGTGCGCCTTGTAGTCCAAAAAATACGGTACTTGTTCATTAGTTTATCCAAAATGTTGGCCTCCATTTTTGTGAAGATTAGCAGTAGACTTTTTAGGCTGATTAATAAGGCAAATTTATTTTAAATAATCAATATTAGTCGCCACAGAGCTGATTAAAAGGCAGGCACATGTGTGGGCAGCACAGTGTAGTTATACTTGACTCTAGCTATAATTTGCTTCCCATGGTGGGTGTGCTTTCATGCCAGGGGTGCTTTTTTCCCACTGCAACCCTGCAGATCCAAGTAAATGCTGACCAAAACATTATTCTATTAAGAGAAGAATGGAAAATAGGTTGAATCTTAATCCTTTTTCAGATGTCATGCTATATTGTTTGGACAAAAAAAAGTTACTTTTAGAGAGAAAACATGCTTGAACTGCATTTGTAGAGAATCTTTAATGAACTTTTGCACAGATAAGAATATTTACAAACCTGTATTGAGTTCCAAAGTTAAATCACATGCAATCATTGTTCATTTTGGATTGTTTTTCCCCTGACTCTCTACATGTTGAACAGATCTTAAAAAGTTATATTTATGAGACAGAAATGAACAAATTAACCAGCATCATGAGGCGGCTGTTGGCTCTTTTCTAAAACTCTGCACTGGCCATCGAATACCCGAATGATTAAATTCTACTGACTATTTAAAGGTTTACTACATTTATGAGAGCAACATGGAAAATAATACATTTATCATATTTATTCACGGGGCAGCACGGTGGCGCATCTGGTAGAGCTGCTGCCTCTCAGCGAGCAGGTCCCTGGTTCAAACCCCGGTCCAGGGGCCTTTCTGGGTGGAGTTTGCATGTTCTCTCCGTGCATGCGTGGGTTTTCTCCGGGTGCTCCGGTTTCCTCCCACAGTCCAAAAACATGCATGTTAGGCTGATTGGTAACTCTAAATTGTCCCTAGGTGTGAGTGAGAGAGTGAATGGTTGTTTGTCTCGTTTGTCTCTATGTGGCCCTGTGATGGACTTGTGACCCATCCAGGGTGTACCCCGCCCCTCGCACAGTGATTGCTGGACATGGGCACCAGCAACCCCCGTGACCCAAAATGGAATAAACGGGTAAAGATAATGGATGAATGGATATTTATTCACACGAACATTTCATTTACATATAAAATCTATACCTTCCTTTACCCAAAAGTTGCAATAAATATCATTTATTACATTTTTGTATGGTCTAAAACAGCAGAGAAAATAATGGATTTAAGTTCAACTCAGCAGCTCCACATATGATGCACTCACCGAGTCTTCCCTCAGGAAAGAGAGTTTCTCTCATGCTTTTCCTTCTTTCATTCCTCTAATGCTTCTCGCTGGCTGTAACAGGAAGTGAGTGTTTAGGTGCAATAATGAGCTGATCGTGGGGGTGTAATGGAGTGTGGAGCAACTGCCCCTCTGCCTGCTGATATAGCTTAGACAGAGAGGCTAAGAACAGCTCTGAGGAGAGTAAAAGGCTTAAGGAGAGTGGACAGGAGGTAAAAGAGGAGTTCTGTGCTGATGACAGAGACATGTTGCTTCAGGGAGAAACAGATGAGAAGGTAGGGGAGTCTGTTGGCGAGGGGATAAAAAGAGATGGATCTCCTGTTTGATTAAAGCAGGGCTGAGGTCAGCGAGCCTGCTGGATATGGCAGGGCAGGCTGAAGCTGAGGGATTACGTGTCCTAATAGGTGTAGCTGGTGTGTGACACGGTGAAGCTGGCGAAGTGTAGCGGTACTCCTCCAGCTCCAGGTGTTTGAGAGGGAATATTTGTGAAAATGCCATCCAAGTTCAGTGACGACATGTTTTTCTTGTACGTTTAGATTTGTAAAGGGCAGGATTTTTTTTTAGATTTTTTTTTTAAGGAAACCCAAACTACATTTTTTATTGACTGGATGTTTGAGCTGATGCAGTTGTTACACAGTGCTAAATAATGAATGCTCCAGCAGTGGAAGACTTGCAGCAAAGAGCCTAATGGAGCGCTCCTCCTCTGCATGGCAGGGCAAGCTGCCTCAAGTTAAAACACTTCCTCCAAATGTTTATAAAAGCACTCAGGCTGAATTTTATGGCCTCTAATATACAATAATTATCTTCAACCTTCAGCCCGATTCATCATAAGAAAAACGATTTGGTGTTAAGAACTCCCCAAATTAGCAGCAGTAACTTCTATACATCTGCGTTAGTGGTTTGTCTCATTAATCAGGAAGAGCTTTAATAATGAGTGGAGATGTTAGCCTGGGAGATAAACTCAAAGCATGCTGGGAGAGGAGTTGGAGCGAGGGTTAAGAGGGCACATTTTCCTCCCCGCCTGTGGGCTCGCACATAAAGGGGGATTTATGGAAGGTTGAGGGCGGCCATAGATAAAATCATTTGTTTGTTTGACCTCCTGCTCAACAGCAGAGGAAGGGTGTCGTTTGTGTGCACGCACCTATAATTTAGCATCTTCACCACAGAGAGGACTGGAGGGTTTGAGAGGGTTTTAAAGCAGCACTGGGATTTAGTTTTTTTCAGCTCTTCCACAGTGATGTGTTGCAGGTTACACTTGGATTGTTAGCACAGAGCAGATGTCAAGTGTCCTCTCCTCGTGCTCTGTGAACAGATGTGAAGAGCACCCTCTTTGTGTTTGTTTGTCTTCCATCGTCTTTGTGGGTTTGTGTGCGTGCAGGCCAGGTGATGACAGCAGGGGTAGCCGAGATACTGAACCGCTACTCCTTAAAGGCAATACTGAGACAAGTTGCAGGCGAGAAGCAAACCAGAGCTGCTGAAGACACAAATGACGACAGCTACCTTGGTAACGCACCAAGTCTCACACAAACACTGACCTCAGCCATATTCATCCTGATTATACTGATCTAATGATACCAAAACCATTGCGTCTGAATTGATTATTGCTTCTCTTTAGGTTACTCTGTGGCAGTGGGAGAGTTTACCGGAGACTCCGAACAAGGTGAGAAAGGCAACAAATTCATTACTGGAAAAGACATAAAGCAACAAAAGTTTCTCTAACTAACAGATCAGCAACGTGCCTGTAACAGTGTCTGAAACGTTCACGCTTGGTCTCCTTTTGTGTTTTAAAGCTGAATGATGAGGGCGTTAATACAGTGCGCAATCAGAGTGGGACCTTGTTGTCTGAACTTAGAAGCAAGAGCAAGAACTGTCTCTATGTGTGGGTCACGACCCTGGTGGAGCAAGACTTCAGGAACCCCTGATAAAGGGATTTCCTGCGAGCCTCTTTGACTGATTAGAATGATTACTGGCAGACTCCGCAAACCTCTTCAGGTCAAGAGCCGGTCCAGGTTTTCTTCTGGACATGAAATATGGGGTGCAAACCGATACACAGAAATACATAAAAGTATTCTCATTTCTTCAGCCCGCATGCACAGTTGTAAAAACTGAAGGTCCTTCAGGTAATTATTATGGGCGCTCGTGGCAGTAAATCATGACGGTTCACACTGAAGCCTCAGTTAAAGTTACATGGTTCAAACCTCAGGTGGGACATTTCTGTGTGAAGTTTGCTCAGTGTCTAAGGTGTGTGTGGTGAAGACATTAACTGGTGAAGTGCACTGCCGTCTTCAATTGGTGCATTTTTGTAATACTTAAAATCAAACATAAACTTGTAAAACATGCAAACTTTAAGGTACGGGTACATTTTGGTTCACAGAGGTCTCAGGACGTAAAGTGCTGCTGAATTTCATTCCATCATTTTGATTTGTAGCATACAGTGGTGCTCGAATGTTTGTGAACCCTTTGGAATTTTCCATATTTTTGCTAAATCATCATCAGATTTTCACAAAAGTCCTAAAAGTAGATAAAAGAGAACCCATTTAAACAAATGAGACAAAAATATTATAAATGGATAAATGGTCTGTACTTATATAGCACCTTTCTGTCTTATCGAGATACTCAAAGCTCTTTACACTACAATCTGTGCCTCATTTACCAGTTCATACAGCACTACTAGATCTCTACAAAGCTAATTGAACAAATCATTCCAAAGAGTCTAATCAGAGCTTTAGATCACATTCATACACTGATGGGACACATATCATAGGCAATGAGGGATTCAGTGTCTTGCCCATGGACACTTCGTCATGTGACTGCTGGTGGATTCGAGCCCCCAACTCTTGCATTGGAGGACAACTGCTCTAACCACTCAGCCACAGCCGCCCCCTATACTTATACATGGTAATTTATTTATTGAAGAAAATGATCCAATATTACATATTTGTGAGTAATAAAAGTATATGAACCTTTGCCTTCAGTATCTGGTGTGACCCTGTGCAGCAATAACTAAACATTTCCAGTAACTGTTGGTCAGTCCTGCACATTGGCTTGGAGGATTTTTAGCCCATTCCTTCATACAGAACAGCTTCAACTCTGAGATGTTGATGGTTTCCTCACATTAACTGCTCGCTCCAGGTCCTTCCCCAACTTTTGGATTGGATTAAGGTCAGGACTTTGACTTGGCCATTCCAAAACATGAACTTTATTCTTCTTGTGCTTAGGGTCATTGTCTTGCTGTGTGACCCACCTTTTCTTGAAATTCAGTTCATGGACAGATGTCCTGACATTTTCCTTTAGAATTCTCTGAAATAATTCAGAATTGATTGTTCCATCAGTGATGGTAAGCCGTCCTGGCCCAGATGCAGCAAAACAGGCCCAAACCATGATACTACCACACCATGTTTCACAGATGGGATGAGGTTCTTACGCAGGAATGCGGGATTTTCCTTTCTCCAAACATATAACGCTTTTCATTTAAACCAAAAAGTTCCATTTTGGTCTCATCCATCCACAAAACATTCTTCCAGTAGCCTTCTGGCTTGTCCACGTGATCTTTAGCAAGCAAATATTTTAGGACTTTTGTGAAATCCTGATGATGTTTTAGCTCATATTTATGCAGAAATATAGAAAATTCTAAAGACTTCACAAACTTTCAAGCACCACTGTAAATTAAAAATCCAACCAACCCCAACATGAAAAGCAGCTCAAAACCTGTCAGAATAGCCCAGCCACAGTGTTTTTTCACACAGTTTATTGCTTCCTCTTCAAACAGCGTCACCGCACAGTCTGTCACATATCTGAGACGCTGCGTTCTCGATGCCACTTAACCGATTTGTATTTAGGAGGATCTCTGTGGGACAGCTTTGTCTTGACGTCCCCTCAAACTAACTCTGCAGAGGCTCAACACATGTGCACCCGTAAAGTGAGCCTAAAGAGGCAGCACATGCACGCTGATGTGCTGTGCTGTGGTGCAAAACTTGTTGTGGTCTTGTTCCTTTGATGCTCTTCAGACTGGAGAGCTGGTTGTTACTGGGAGCTCTGAGCAACGATGGTGCTGAGAATTAGGCTGGTGGTAGAGCCGCAAGGAGGGAGGTGGGGGTTGTCTTTCTCTCCTCTCTCTGGGTGGGACCCTCTGATCATCCCCAGAAGTTCACAGTGCTGAACTCATCAATCAAAGTTCAAGCAGAGTCTGAGCGCCCGATAAGCCCCGCTCAGCTGTGGGATGGGTCCGGGCTCATACGGCCTTTTGTTCCATGTCTGTGCATCTTTTTTCCCCCACATGGTTTCTGAGTGTTTCTTTGCTTTTCTTGTTCCTCAGAGCTGATAGCTGGAGTTCCAAGAGGAGCACAAAGTTTTGGATATGTAAGTAAAGACAGACAAGCAGACTGGGACAGCTCATAAAACTAAAACTTCATGACGTTCTTCTTCTATGACCTTCAGTGGAGTCTTTTGTCCATGTGAACCTTGCCCTGTTGATCTGGGCCCTCTGGCACCACATGTAAAGAAAACTATTTCTAACTTGGGTTTTAAAATGGACAGTGATTTTAAATTAGAGTCCCAGATTGGAGCGGTGGTCAAGACCAGTTTTTATCACCTCAGACAGCTGGCTAAGGTAAAGACCATCCTTACAAAACAGCAGCTGGAAACAGTAATCCATGCCTTCGTCACCTCTCGGCTGGATTACTGTAACGCTCTTTACCTTGGAGTCAGCCAGTCCTCCCTCAGACGCCTCCAGTTGGTCCAGAACGCTGCTGCTCGGCTTCTAACTGGAGTTCAAAAAAGGGAGCACATCACCCCCACTCTTGCTTCACTCCACTGGCTGCCTGTTCATTTTAGAGTTCATTTTAAGATTCTTTTATTTGTTTTTAAAAGTTTAAATGGTCTTGCTCCATCCTACCTCTCTGAGCTGCTTCACCCATACTCTCCTGCTCTCGGTGCCTCAGATCAGCTGATCAGCTGCTCCTGGAGGTGCCGAGGTCTAAGCGGAGGCTCAGAGGGGACAGAGCTTTTTCTGTTGCTGCTCCAAGACTGTGGAACGATCTCCCTCTTCCCATCAGACGAGCCCCTTCACTGTCCAGTTTTAAAACTCTTTTAAAAACACATTTTTACTCCCTGGCTTTTAGCACACACTGAATTTACTCTGCACTGTTTTTATTACTTTTATTGATCTTAATGTTTTAACAACTGTTTTTATGTGTTTAAATGTTCTTGATTTTATATGTACAGCACTTTGTGGCAGCTGTGGTTGTTTTAAAGGGCTTTATAAATAAAGTATTATTATTATTATTATTATTTCTTTATGTGTTCATTTTTAGGAAGTGCTTTGACTGTATATTACAGATCATTGTCATATTGGAAACGTTGTATCTTAATGTCTTCTTTCCTTATGATTCACATTATTTTGATGAGACTCCCTTGCACAAAGGCTAAAATAGAAAATTCTAAAAAAGTAAAGCATGATGATCCCATCATCGTGTGCTACTTATCCAATGGGGAGAATGTTCTTCAGATGCTGTCACCTGCTGTCGTTTTTAGGCCTGACACTTCTTTATTTGTTCTCCTCATCTCCACTCCTCATTTCTTAATCAAAAGCCTCACAATTGTCTGTCAAAGGACTGAAAATGAACAGAAAAGCAGCCAGAGTCCAAAGAAAATGTGCTGATAAAACCTTCAAAAAATACTTTGAACATCTGGCTCTACAAAATATTAGGAGCGGTACAAACTTCTGAACAGCTCTGTTGATCAGTTTCAGACTTCTGATGGGGCTTTTGTGAATCTCGACCTGAATCCTAATCAAATGGCTCCAGCATCTCTGTTTGTGCATCTGTGTACAAACTGCAGCTTGCTGTGCGTTGTTCTATGGGAACTTGTCCCCAGGGCTGTCTGTGTCAGTCCTCCTTAATGACACACAGCTTCCGCTTCATGTGGAGGGCAGTGACCCTACCTAACCCCACTAACCCCTTTTCTACACACACACAACCCCCTAACCTGGAGTGTAACCGCACAACTTCCCACACTCACAGTGACAGCCTGACTTGTGTCCTGATGTTGTAGCTGGTGCCAGCATGCTTCTTCCTGTGCGGACGGTTCACCGTGCGGTTGTAGCTCGGAGTAGGAGTGAGCAGGTCCATGTTCAAGGCATGGAGCTGGAATGACTGTGAGGCCTAATTAGGCTTCTTCTGTGTCCAATCTGACCATTTAGAGCACAGAGAAGTTAATTATGAAGCGATTGATTCAATGTTTGTGTTTACTCTGCCTCATCTGTTCGTAAGTTTAACCCTCTTTAATAAGTGATCAGTGTGTGTAGCCCTCGGCTGTCTCCATGTGGATGTTATTTTAGATCTTACGAAGGAATTCTGCCTGCGACTGGGGTTAGGATGGGGGGGAAGGAGGGAAAGATGAGGGGGAAGACTGGTGAGGTCACAAAGAGGATGGTGGTGGGGGAAGGATGAGAAAAATAAGCAGTTTTACTTATATATATATATTTTTTATTGGCTTATCTTGTGTGTGTGCGTTCAGCAGTTTGTGCATCTTTGCTCGTTAAGCTCTGCATGTTGTTCTGATTAGTTCTGGTGAATCACGTCTGATAAGTGATGATCAGCCGGTCGAAGCAGATGGACGCTTGTCCTGAGACTGGTTCTGCTGGAGGCTCCTTCCTCATGAGGGAGTTTTTCCTTTCCACTGTTGCCTTTGTGCTTGCTTAGGATGGGAGACGGCGATGAAGTGAAAACTCAACACAGTCTGTTGGCTCCTCAGATTTAACTGACTTTTTATGTACCATATTTTCTGGACTACACTTAAAATCCTTTAATTTTCTCAAAAATCAACAGTGAGCATTATAATCCGGTGCACCTTATGTATTAATTCTGGTTGTGCTTGATGACCTCAAATTTGATGTGGTACACGGTGCTCAAAAATCTGTCGGAATGTTTTAGTTTTGCTTAACGCGCTTTATAGTCTGAAAAATACGGTATATGAATATTTCTGTTCAGTACCCTGAGACGACTTCTGCTGTGATTTGGCGCTATATAAATAAACTGAATTGAAGTCTGTCTTGTTTGTTTTAGGTGGCGATGATCAACTCCACCAATCTGACCTTCATCCAGAACTTCACAGGGGAACAGGGAAGAAGCGTTTTGAATCAGAATGTCAGGGGAATAAAGTGTTTCACACTGTGTGGTTTAGTTTGGATCTTTATTGTGTCGCTCTTTGTCTGACCTTTAGATGGCCTCTTATTTTGGTTACGCTGTGGCCGTCACTGACTTGGACGGAGATGGGTATGTATCTCAATCTGTCACTCCAAACACCTACTAGCTCTTTTTCTGTCTCTACTCTTGAAAGTAAACACACTGAATCCACCCAGAACCGATGACATACTGGTGGGAGCGCCCCTCTACATGGAGAGGGAGATGGAGAGCAAACCCAGGGAGGTGGGACGGGTGTACCTGTACCTGCAGCTGGCCCCGCTCACCTTCTCCAAACCCGTCATCCTCACCGGCACCTACACTTTTGGACGCTTTGGGACGGCTATAGCACCACTGGGAGACGTCAACCAAGATGGATATAATGGTATGTTGACAAAAATCAGAATAAATCTGGAATGAACACAAAGTTAATCAGATTTTTTTTTTTACTTGTTATATTCTATGTGTGCCCTTATGAGGTTTGTGTTTTGTGGTTGACCTGACAACAAGTAGCAGGTCTTTCTCTGATTCTGCGGCTGCTGAGCTGTTATTTCACCGAGGGAGGAAATCCCATCAAAGCTCCTCAGCCGATCAGGAAGTGTGGTGATGAAAGGTTGTGTGTGTGAACCTTCTTTCATGGTGTGACTATCGGGTTGAGGCCACATGCGTGTCGGGGGCTATTTTTACCTCACCAGATGTGCCCTGAGATAAAATCATCTGGGAGATTTTTTTTTTGTTTTTTGTCCTACAGCCCAGAGTTCAATCCTCTTGGACGTGTTTGTTTTATTCTCACGTTAATCAGACCGCGACATACACACTCGTATATGAACACACACACACACAAGGCCTGGAGCCCAAATGCTTCACTGTGTTAAATCCTGTTGACTGCCCTGTTAAAGATGAATAAATGAATGCACATCTGGTCTTTGTATGACATCAATCCCACTGGTTTATTTTTAATTTACTCTCGGGCAGCATGTGCTAATGCTCTTACCATTTCTTTAAACTCTTATCAACCAGTAGATCAATAACCGTAGGATCAATACTGAAGCTTTCTGTGGCTTCAAACACAAATCACTTGTGCTGTCTGTCAGTCCGTGACACTCTCTGAGGACTGGTGAGAGCCAGCTCTGTCGACACTGTCACAAACACTTGTTGTGAATTATTTCAACAAGTTTGTGCTCATGTTTCTCATAGTTTTTTAAGATTATGGCACTGAGTCAGTTTGGCAGATTTATGATCAGGCTTTTCAGCTGTTTCTTTTTGCTAAAGTCATAATTAGAAGTTGGTTAGTAGATCAGTCAACCCATTAATTAGACCAGTTTTTAACATTGTCATACATGAAGTATCAGTCAAGCCGGAGCATAAGAAGTTGATTAAAAGACAGGCATATCTTTGGGCATCCCCGTTGTCACAGATGATGTACAGCTTTGTGCCAGTACAACAATAGTTCTTGTGACTGCTTGGCAGAGGTGATCTTGGGTTCACATCAGCAGAATCCAAAGGTGGTTCACCAAAATATTCTGTCTTAAGCTTTATAAAAACCCTTTTCAACAAGCAAGGAGGTACAAGTGTAATGTACATATCTCCAGTAGTAAACAAGGTTATTAAGAAGTGTTATTATGCTAACATTCCAGTTCTACTTGGAAGTGGGCTTCTCAACTTACTGCATGAGTGCAGGTCTGTACCAAATACACGACAAAGACAGGCGTGTTGTGGCCTACGCCAGCAAAACAATGGCAGGCCCTGAATTACGGTATTCAGACTGTGAGAAGGCTCTATTGACCACTGTGTGGGCAGTGAAACATTTCTCCTGCTATATTGGTGGACAGAGGATTATTGTTGAGACACAACACCAGCCAGTAACGTTTCTGAACAGCCAACGCATCAGAGATGGTGTGGTGACAAACTCACGCGTTGCAACATGGCTTATGGCACTTCAAAGTTTTAACCTAGACATCCGCTACGGTCAAAATAAGAAGTCGCACTTGGGCACTGATTTGGCAATCTGCCAAGAATGTACACAGGATGTACCAGCCACCCAACAGCCGGTTGTGAGCAAACCCTCAGCTGCTGAGGACCCAAATCACCACTTCTTTGATAGCAATATCTGCAAAGATATGGCAACAATGTACGTGGATGGATGCTCATTCCACCACGAGACAATCTGCAAAGCAGGTGTTGGAGGAGTTCTCCTCCAGGACCAAGAACAGGTCACATTTGGCTATAAATTAGGCTCTCAGTCTTCTCAGTACGCTGAGATAGCTGCAATCCTAATAGGCCTACAGATGGCAGTAGAACGCTCCATCCAGACGCTAGTCATCTGCACTGACTCTAACTATGCTCGATTGAGTTTCTTGTGTCATCTCGCTCTGTGGAAACAGAACGGTTTTCTCACAAGCAACAAAAAGGTGGTAAAACACAAAGAGCTTTTCATGACATGTGATCACTTGGTGACATCACATGATCTACAGATCTTCTGGAAGAAAGTTCCAGGACACTCCAGAGTCCCAGGCGATGACAAGCACTACAATGACCTTGCAGACTCCCTAGCCAAGGAAGGAGCCGTTGACGGACCCACGTGGTCCTTTAACCCCTCCTGGCTACTCAACACTCAGTCGTCACAAGCTACAACTGAGGTAATGGCAGTCACACGTGCACAAGCTGCAGCTAAACCTGCTGATAACACAGTTTCTGTGCGCCCGATGTTGACTGACCCAGACATCATCCAACTTCAGAAGTTGGATCCTGCAATTAACTCGATGATGCTGTATCTGACTGACCCAGACAAATACACTCCATCGAAAGACGAGCTGGATTCCAATCCAGACCTTAAAGTCCTCTTTCAGCTGCGCAAACAGCTGAAACTAGTTAAAGGCATCCTAACTTTTGCTCATGGACGGACGTCCTCACCTGTGTTCGTGGTCCCCCATGACCACAGGGGGGTGATGTTAGTCCATGCACATGACCTTCCGTCCGCAGGACATAAGGGTGACAATGCCACGCTGAAAGCATTGAAACAGATTGCTTATTGGCCTGGAATGAAAAAGGATGTCAAAGACTACATAAAAGGGTGCCTGATCTGTGCCCTGTTTCAACCATCCAGACCACTTCACAGAGCACCACTGCATAGTAGAGGCATTGCATTTCCATGGTCGGACCTCCAGATTGACTGGGTCGGACCACTCACTAAGACCTCTAGAGGAAATAAATATTTTCTCACGGTAACCTGCGCGTTTACCAAATGGGTAGAGTGTCTACCAGCCCCTAATGACACAGCACAAACCACTGCTATGTTGTTAATGAATCATGTATTTTCAAGGTTTGGACTTCCCCTTAGGGTGAACTCAGACCAAGGTACACACTTCACAGGTGAAGTAATGAAGGAACTGTGGAAGACGCTAGGCGTCAAAGCCAACTTCCATATTGGCTACCACCCACAGGCTTCAGGCCAGGTTGAGAGAGCAAACAGGACTGTGGTGAGTATT